AAGCCGTGGGGACAGACATGCAAAGGCTCTATGAGTCCTGGGGGCAAGGGAGCCAAGGCCGCAGGCCAAGGCTCAGCTGCTCAGGCCAAAGCCAGCCTCTGGCTCTTCACATCTCCCCCGGGACCTCTCCTCACCCCAGATTTCAGTAGCAAAGTGGATGGGTGATGGGCCCGTAGCCCGGAGGGTGACTAAAACCCAAAATGGCTTTCAGTTACCGGACAGTTCCGGTGGAGGCCCGGAATGAGCGCAGAAAAGGTTTGCTTTCCCAGCGGCAGGATGGGGTGCCCTTGAAAGAGTGGCCGGCCTTGAGGGGAGATGATTACTTTAAAGCGATGTCAGCACATGCTTTTTTTGGCTGAACATTTCGGCTTGGTTACTCGCCTTCACAGAGGGAGAGAGGCACCGCGTGAGCTGGAGTCTTCTCGTGAACGGAAAACTCGATGTCCCGATTTGGGGTGATAAGCGTGGCCAGGTTAGTGCCGAGCAGGCAGAGCAAGGACAGGGACGCTCTGACTTCGGGGTGATGCGAAACCATTCACCAAAGAGCATCGCGGGGCCGGCTGGCCCGACTCGGTGGTCTGTTTGCGCTCAGCGTAGAATGCCGGGCTTCCAAATCCCAACGTCCGATCCGTCGTCCCTGGAGGAAAACAAGGAAAATAAAATGGATTAGCAAAGGGTGTTGGTTGGGGCCAGAAAGTTTAGAAAGCAAACGGAGCCTCAAGGAAAGCGGGATTTTCTTTAAATCGGCTAAGGCTGGATGCCTGGGTAATAGTGTTGTCAATGAGAAATCACCATTTGCACGGTAGGCTTAGTTGTGACTTCTCCTCGTGCAAGTTCAAACTGAAATGCAGTGCTCCAGACTGCTGTGCTCTGGGAAACGCACAAGGCATTTCCTTGCGAACGCTATGATTTAGCCCTAAATCATCACTATTTGGTCACTGTATGATCATTACTCTTTGACTATCGAGACTTTCAGGGGTTGAAGTCCCCGCTGGGCTGTGAAGGGGTATGGCTGGGGGTCAAGGCCAGGCTTCCTAACTCCTGTGCTTGGGAACTACTCAGCCGAAGTGGTTTTAAATAGCATCTTTTAAATAGCATCCTATTTGGTGTATGCAAATCTAGGTTGACTGTTATCAACTATAAGTTCTTTAGTGAGAAAAACTATGAGCTAGAATGGGGATTTCTTTGGATTACCTACCTGCAATATTTTGCCTCAATAGGAAAGTTGGGGGCTTGCTCGTGAAATACGATCATCCCTTTTCATTAAACAGTGCATAATTTTATAAGTAAACTCTCAACGAGGAAGACATTAGACAGCCCAATTCAGATCTGGTCTGGCATTTGAAGTGCATTGAGATGTCCAGACATAAAGCAGTTTGGAACTTACCAGACATAAATATTGCCTTAAAAAATTGCAAGATTAAAGATGTCAGCAAATAGGTGGGTCAATGCTAAGTGCATGTTGACAAGGGAGGAAGAGGGACGTTAATTTAGCTGGTATCTCACGTGGAGTGGTTTGGATGCCAACCTTTCTTAAAATAGAGGGAAAAGACACAGTGTAATCTCGTCTGTGCTGTTTATGCTTCTTGTTTGTAAAAGGAGTGATACGGGGGTAAGAAAAAGAAGTTAAAAGTGCCCATAATAAAGATGAAAAATAGACTGCACCTACCCTCAAGGATTTCGTGGTCCAGACGTGAAGGCAAAAATAGGAATGCAAAAAAGGTACAAGGTCAGTGCAAAGGAGGAAAACTTGAGATGGAACTTAAAGACTTGGACCAAATGAATAGCGTGGGGGCTTGGAGGGAGGAGGGGGGAAAAAGAAAAGTCTGTGCAAAGATACGGAGCATGAAATGAGCTGACATTTTGGGGCCCCCAAGGAATCTGATGTTGTTGGAGGGGAGAGAAGAAGGGGGCTCAGTGCAGTGAGAGGAGCTGGTGAAGAAGATAGGGGGTCAGAGGCTGGATGCGGGGTGGCGAGCCCAGCGTGGGTCTTCAAACGTGCATTTGGGTTTCCTAAAAATTACTCTTGTGATGGTGTCAGAAGTGAATGGTTGGTCATCTGATCAACAAAATGAAAAGCTGGTTGTTTCAGGAAAGTAATTAAACAGACAAACTCCTGGCATGAATGATTTTTTTCTTAAGAGGCAGAAATAAACAGTACTAGATATGAAAAGAGACATTGAAACAGAAAAAGTAAATATTTAAAAATCATGAGATAATCACATGAACAACGTTTAGGCCAATATATTTGAAACCGTAGATACACTGCACAGTTTTTAGAAAGCATAAATTATGGAAATTAACAAAGAAGAAATTGACACCGAATAAACCTACAACCAGTAATGGGGCGGGGGGAGGCGGGTGGTGGCGGGAAATGAACTCAATAGTCAAAAATACACCACGGGCAGTACTAGCTCCAGAAGATTTTGCAGACAATTTTTTCCAGAAATTCAAGAAAGAAATAACCCCTGACAAATAACCATTCTAGGGAACAGAAAAGCAGAAAAAAATTCCCCAACATATTTTATAAAGCCATTATAATCCTGATGTCGAAGCCAGACAAGGACAGAAGATGACTCAATCTCACATATAAACAGAGATCCAAAAATACTAAATAAATACAAGCAAGAAATACAAAGTGAGTGTGTGCATAAATAGCATATAAAATATATTTTATATGGCATGCAAGGATTGTTTAACATTCAAAAATCAGTCATATAATTTATCTCACGGACATACGACAATAGATAATGGAAAACATTCAGTAAAATTCTAGACCTAATCTTAATTAAAAAAAAAAAAAAAGCTATGCCAATGAGTTTGACTCATAGCTGCATGATTTCGTGGTTATTGCATTGTAATTCGGGCAAGAACAACATAACCTTTGCCCGAGAAAGGACAAGAACGGATGAGGAAAGGACAGAGGATGGAGACAAAGAGAATAATCAGCAGGTCATTTGGAGGCAAATCCAGGTAAGAGGTACAATGTGGAAGGTGGGGAAAGAGTCCACAGTGGGAGTGTGGGAGGACAGACTTCTGCAATGAGGCTTTTTGCAAGACAGGAGCCCAACAGAAGCTGGTGGTTGATTGGATGTGGGAAGACAGTTGGAAAGAAGAGACTCCCAGATTTCTGGACTAGGTGGCTGTGTGGACCGTAATTCCATTAGTCCAGACAGAAAATGTAGTTTGAAGGCTTGTCTGAAATTAGCAAGACTCTCTTGCCTGAGAAGGAAATAACTCTCGAAGAGAACTAAGTGCCAGCAGCCTGAAAACAAGAGCTTTGGCCATCACTGGACCTAAATTAGTATCAGGAGAGAGGGAGAGAGAGACAGAGATAGAGGCAAACAGAGAGAGAGAGAGAGACAGCATGCAAAAGAAACATCATCTGCTTTTAAAGGCCAAGATACTACCGGGCCTGCCCAAGTCACCACCTGATAAATGTTGACCGGATGGAACCAAAGCTACCAGCAGTTTACAGAGTATGGAGAAGTAAGGAGTTGTTGCTTTTGAATGAATACCCAGGATCACAGCTGGCAAGAAAAAATAAAGGTTATCTCGGAAGTATATAGTCAATCTAGGGTGAAGGAGTACCTAATAACGGTAATAGTTATGATTAAAAAAACCATTCAGAACAGAACAAAGAGGAAAAGATGTTTCTCTTTTCTTAAATCTTATTCTCTGATACATTTTGCTGTGTTTTTATAAGTAGTTACGACACTTTTGGATTGAAAGTTCAGCGTTGCTCACAACACGTTTGGTTTTTATAGAACAACTAAAACATAATCTCTTGGTCCTCAACGATTGCTGTGTCCCCAAGGAACTGCACCCACGTGCCGGCAGGGACCCGGATTGCCTTTTTCTTCGCCCTTAATTTCTCTAATATGGCCACCCAACTAGATGATAGCCCTGTGTGTCCATTCATTGTGCCGTGACCTGAATGTGTCTCAGAATCTGTAGAAATAAGCCAAACCGAATCACCCTTTGACTAGGCGTGCGCGAGGGGTCAAGAAAGGTATGGTCTATGCATTTCCGCCCAGGCCAGGAAAAGAACAGACAAGCCCATAGAACACGGAGGGCCGCTTCGAACGTAGTAATATCCCGCTGAGGGCAGCATCAGGCAGCTGCCAAGAAGTTTTGTTAATAGCAAGACCAGCCTTCCCCCAAGATGGTTGAGAATGATGGTGATTTCATTTGGCTTTAAGGAAATTCATTCCGGCCTCACAGTTGGGTGGACAGTGCTGGAAAAGTGTGTGGCCCACCTAGAGCTCGGTAATTGTTTCCCAGCTGCCTCGTGCTTAAACTCCAACCTTTGGGACTCCAGATTACAGATGGCATTACCCAGGGACCCAACCCGGATCAGAGGGAGAATGTACTAGAACCCTTTGCCAGGAGCGGTCTCCCGCTGATCCAATGCAAGTGGCAAGATCCACAGCAAGACAAAGGAACTTTTGAAAAGGACTTAAAAAGAGCTCACTTGCTCTGCGGTTAACCCATCAAAGGCATCTTCCTGTAACCCGGAGGGCAGCAGGCCTCAACATGTGCTGGCCATTTGGAAAACAGATTCCTACGGAGTAGATCAAACATTTCAGGAGAGCCCCTTGCCTTGAAAATATGGGACCTTATGAAAATCATTAAGCAATTCATTGATATTTATTTGCTTACACTGTGCTTCAGCAAAGCAAACTGGAAGATGGGGATGAGAACCATTGACCCAGTTTCAGACGCCCTAGTTCTGGAAAGAAGGATTCCCTTACGCGCCTGATTTTAAAGAGCCTTTTAAGAAGACAGCCTACTACACAGCTGGCATGGAAAGACTGTCTTGGCTCCCTTCAACTGGGTATTAGGTTAACAACCACCTCAAGCTTCTTAGAAACCTAGAAATCCCCAGGCAGTTAGAGGAATTCCGCAGGGCTAAGAAAACCTATGCAATCTCAGAGCTTTAGGCAGAAAAATATTTCCAAACCTCAGCCACTCCCAGCCTCATCAAACATGGCGGCTCCACGGCACCTCCAATCATCCTTCCTTCCTGACGGACCAACCCCTTCTTCATTCGTGGCTCAGGTCCAGGGAACCTGGAAACCAACGAGGAGTAAGTCTGTGTTTTCGCTTTGGTTATCACGCATGAGTTCCTTCTAAACCGAAGCAACTCCACTGTCTGACCCAGGGACCTTCGCTTCTTTAAAGTTTAAGGAAGTAGCCCCTCGAGATTCATCAGCTTCCTGGTCTTGGCTTCCCTTTTACTCAGATGCAAAGTTCCCATGAGTGGAGAAAGGCTCAGCAGAATGCCATCATTCTTACGCTGTGGGTTTAAAATGATCTATCCTATGGGGGATGCCAACTACATAGCCTCTGAGGCTCTGGGAAGAGAGGGGGAGGCTAGCTCTAGGGACCTGGGCTCAACTTCCCCCACAACATTACTACAGAGGTTGAAAGTCTGTCCTCAGATATTCAACACATATGTTTTGAAATTCATTAAGTTCCAAAATTAAAAAACAAATGTAAAAGATCCAGCAATGGTTCCTGCACAAAGCAGATACTCAAGGAATGCTTGTTGACGGATGAATTTGTTAGCTGATAAATATGAGAAATACAGTCTGTTTTGCACCACATGGCAGCTGAAGCTGCTAGGAAGACATGTGTCCCTAATTTGTTATACGAGTTTTACAAAATGAGTCACCTCAACCCTACCTCTGTTTGAAGACCAACTTTCTTCACAAAGCCCTCCCAGGACTCTCCTGTTGGTCATTTTTGAAAGGAACAACTGTCTCTTGGCTTTGAATTGTCAATTAACTTCTTGTGATCGCTCCCAAATCCGTGGTTCCCAAAGGGAAACATTCTGTCTTGTTATTTGTTGACTTAAATTGGGTGTGGGTCGGTAACTCCTTCAGGATCCAACATGGAATCTTGCACAAAGCACATACTCAATAACTGTTTGTGGAGCGATTGATTTGTTCATTGACGTATACTAGAAATACAGTCTGGTTGCACCATATGGCATTTAAATATCCAGGACACAAAAAGCGTCATTCCCTGTTAATTTTTTTTTTTATGAAATTTATTGTCCAATTGGTTTCCATACAACACCCAGTGCTCATCCCAACAGGTGCCCTCCTCAATGCCCAACACCCACCCCGCCCTCCCACCCCCCATAAACCCTCAGTTTGTTCTCGGTTTTTGTTACTTTTTATAGTCTGTACTGAGAAGAAATGTCCTAGAAGATCTTCTGCGTGGTCTCAAGTTAGCTTCGGACATCAATATTTCAGAGGGAATAATGTGTTTTTACGTGGTAAAGTAAGATAACAGGTATGTAAATATTGTCACCCCCAATATGGCAACACCACAGTGACATTTTCCGTTGATTGATGGAGACATTGGTTAATTTCTAGTAGGACTACGACTGCCATTTCTGTGGTAGATGGAGGGTTATGACAAGTCCTTTGTTGACGAACTAATTAGGATTTTCAGAGTGTAAGATCTAGTGTTGATGCTTTTCGAAGGAAGGAAGGAAGGAAGGAAGGAAGGAAAGAAGGAAGAAGGAAGGAAGAGAGGAAGGAACGGAAGGAGGGAGGGAGGGAGGCAAAGAAAGAACAAAAGAAAAAAAACCTCTTTGTTGAAGTATCCACATGCATGATTGAACCACTTGCTAACTACAGGCATGTACATATAACAGATATGTCAATATGGTAAAATTAAAAAGAAAAACAACTTCCAACCTTAGGAATCTACTTTGAAAACCTCTCCATTATGAGGCATTGTTGTTATCGATGCCTGCTTTGCCCACCTGCATCTTGCTTCCAGGCCTAGAAAAAGCTCACTCTGGGGTCTACCTAAATCTGAGAACTCCTAAATAGCGCCCTACTGGGGGGTGCTTCACATGGCATGTTCTTCCCAAAGAATGCTGAGACGCTTGCACTTCTCATAACCAGGACGGTAGCCTCCCTCAAGCTCGTGTGGGCTCTGCTGTGACCCTTCTCACGTGGTCACTCCATCGAGGCAGGGGACATAGGCTGTTATTTGCAGAGAGCCGGCACAGAAGAGGTGCTCAGTACCTCTGGTTGAAGAAATGAATTTTCATACCAGCTCTGGAAACAACAGTATGATGCCCATGTACTGGACGGGAAAACTGAAGTGAGAAGAGAGTAAGTAACTTGCCCAGGATCTTGGGAGAGCCCTCACTCTTGCCACTGTCTCTCTGATGAGCTCACACAGGGGCCCTCCTGAGAGAAAGCAATCATGTACCTAGTGGAGTGGTACTCCACTCCTTGTTGTATCTGGGGGGAGGAGGCTAGTTGAAGGGGATTGTTTCTTAGGAGCACCTGGGTGGTTCAGTCAGTTAAGCATCTGACTTTGGCTCAGGTCATGATCTCACGGTTCGTGAGTTCGAGCCCCGTGTCAGGCTCTGTGCTGACAGCTCAGAGCCTGGAGCCTGCTTCACATTCTGTGTCTCCCTCTCTCTCTACCCCTCCTCTGCACCTGCTTTATCGATCTGTCTGTCTGTCTGTCTCTCTCTCTCTCAAAAACAAATCAACGTTAAAAGTTTTTTTAAAAAATTGCTAAAGAGATGGACAAATAGTCATCAGAGACTACCAAAACCTTACTATCCATGACTTCTTGATTAAGTGTGTGACATCTGCATACGCAGCAGCCTGCAGTGATAACAAGAGTTCAAAATGGCACCACTACGAACAAATCCAACACCCGTGTTATAGTGAAATTCCCTACAACAGGATTCCACTCGTGCAAGACTTTTGCAATATAAAGGAGAAAAAACAGCAATTTGTTATACATTAGTCTTATTGGTCATTTTTACTCTCTCCACACATGGACCCAAACCGCAAATCAATTTAAAAAAACGTGGAGGGAAAAACAGAGTAGATGAATGGCTTTATAACACCCGCTATAAAGGAAGAAGGCTTGCATCTGGGTGGATGGGTGGGCGACGTGGGCTTGTATGAACTCACTTGACTACATTCTGAATCTTGCAATTGAGACGACAATATTACCCAAGCAGTGGCCACGCACTCATACGGAATAAGAGACTACATGTGAATCACCTAACACGATGTCTGCCAGGTGGATGTGGGCTTGGTGTTTTGCTCTAGCTGTCCTCGTCAGCCACTGAGACCACCGAGGTTACAGCAAGGCGAGGAAGCATTATAATCAAATTGTTCTTGCTTGTCTGCTTTGAGTACTACCCGTGTATGACCACGATCACCATTAGTGGCGTTCCTTTCGGATCTATGTTAGGAATGGGATCTATTCCTGTGTGAACCACAACAAAAAAAAATCGTCAGTTACGTCCTCCCAGCCAAGCACAACCTGATGCAATCTCACCCACCCTACAAAGCTCATCTTGAGGGGCGCCTGGGCGGCTCAGTCAGTTAAGCCTCTGACTCTTGATTTCGGCTCAGGTCGTGATCTCACGGTTTGTGAGTTCGAGCCCTCCATCGGGCTCTGCGCTGACAGCACGGATCTTGTTTAGGATTCTCTCTCTCCCTCTCTCTCTGCCTGCCCCCCCCCTCTCAAAATAAATAAATTTTAAAAAATAAGCTCATCTTGAAAGCCACCTCTGTCACATTTCTCCGGACTCTCCTCCAGGCAGATGTTTTCACTCTGTCTTGAACATCTTAAAAACTTTGGCTTTTACCCCTCTGAGGGTACTTAGCCTGCTCTGCAAATCACACTGCTGTCTCTTTGCCTTATCCTGTATTTGATTTTAAGTCCCTTGAAAGCAGAGATCAGCCTTATCTTTACATTTCTTATGGGCTGAGTGCAGGGCCTCGGGCTCAGAAGCTCAATAAAAACGTGTTGAGTTGCAGCGAATCGTGACCCACCCTGCCTACCAGGCCCTCAGCCAGCGCCAGGGTCCGGCACACAATGGGTCCTTGTTCTCCCCGCTGTGCACACCCACAAACATATACTAAACACCTGGAAACATGGGGACACTTAGTTGCTTGGCAAATCCTCCCCCTCCCAGGGCGTCTTCCCTTTGGAAGAGGCTGTTCTGACAGCTGGCCTGCTGCTGGTTAGACGGGGCGCTCTCTGGAACGACTCATCACTGCAGCAAACGGCCAAGTTCGCTGTGCCAGGAACCGAGAAGAGAGAAGGGTCCAAGGGGGAGAGTCTCGATGCCAAGAATGTGCTCTCTGATTTCCAGCGGAGAGGGAAGCAGGGAGCACTGAAGTGGAAGAGATGATGCAGAACGGGCCCAGAAGCCTCCTCCCTCTCCTGCACCTGACACTCCATGGGCAGGGGTCTCGGAGAGGAGCCTCCCGTCCGGGGAGGACCAGGGCCTCCCGCACAAGACGCTGGGGCTGCTCTTTATTAAATGCGAATGGTGCCACGCAGCTTCCAGGACTTCAGTGGAAAGTGGATTCCCCCCAAACCCTCAGGACATCTCCCGGTTCCCGAAAGGATTATTATGGTTACCGCTGTTATTACTTACAAAGCCTACATCATTTTTTAAAAGTTTGCTCAAGGTAGAGGAAGCGTAAGCACTCAACTTCCAGAACGTGTCCTGGGATTCCGCTCACCAGAATGACATAACCTGTTGGATTCTGCTTGGGCACAAGGCAAAAGGCAACAGGCTTCTCCTTAAAGCCCAGGCAGGGTTGCCAGATTTAGCAAATAAAAATACGCGATGCCCAGCTCGATTGGAATTTTAGATAAACAATGAATTCAGTTTTCATCTGAGTGTGTCCCAAATATTGCATGGGACATACTTATACTACTAAAACAATATTTGTTATTTATCTCAAATTCAAGATGAGCTGATTATCCCGTATTTTATCAGGCAATCCGGAGCCCAGGGAGAGTCAGGACAGTCAAGAGATTTTTCACCAACAAAAGCGTCTTTTAAAGCCCCGGCTGAATGGCTTTGGACGACATTTCAATTCAGGCCCTGCATTTTCCCTGGAGTGTGAGCTCAATGTCACGGACAAACAATTGGGAGAATGAACATTCAGTGAACATTCCGCCCCTTCCTTGCCCTCAGCAGCCTGTGGCAAACTGCTCCCCCTCAACCAGCTGGGGAGGAAAAAGGCTTTCTCTTTTAAGATGGCTCTCCCCTCCCCTGCTACAGATTGGATTGTTTCTGGGGTTTGCTGGAGAGCTGCTTGGGCTAATTGCTTTCAGACCACGATCCCACCAGGCCTGCCCGCTGTGGAGGCAGCATGTTGGGGCTGGGAGGCAAAGCATAGGGGGGTTGGAGTCAAGCAGACTTGGTTTGGAATCCTGCCTGTGCCACGTCGGCCAAGTTGCTTACCCTCTCTGGGCCCCCGTTTCCGCACTGATAAGATGAGGGTACTCGAGGGGTGGCTGAGGTAGGAGTGCCATAAGACGGGAGCACATTCGGTGCTCCTCACCGTGCCTGACATATCGTGGCTGCTCCTTTAATATTAGCCACTGTTATTATTATTGCCTGTCTGTGGTATGTTCCACATGGCAGGTGACGTCTGGAGTGGAGTCTCCTCAAGCCTGGAGCTTGGAGACGTGGGAACACAGATTCTAGAAGGCCGTCAGGCCCTGCGCACTAGGAGGTGCGACTTGGTGGGAAGATGGCTTCACCGCTGTCCCCGTGGCCCTGCCTCATTCAGTTCCGCAGCACCTAGCTGAACCACCACCGTCAAGTCAGTGATCAGGTCACCACATGGGTCAGGTCACCATAAGCGTGTATGGGGAGTCTGAAGAGTGCTTTAAGGGATTGGAGAGAAAGGAGAAGGAGAAAGAAGGAGGGGGAGATGGGGAGGGGTCTCAGATTTCTTACGAGGAATCAGTGAAATAATCTCAGTAAGTATTAGAGCAGTGCAGGCAAATGACAACCGCTTAATACGTGTTAGCTAATATTCTTTGAGACGCCTCAAAGAATGGGTGGGATTGTCATCAAGAGAGAAAGGCACTTGTAACTTAAAGAAAAAAAATCATTGAAGCTATGACGCGGTCAATTGTAAATGTGCGCATGATGAATTGGGGCCTGGTTTTCCAGGCAGTTTTGCTGTGAAAACTTTTGAACAGGGGCTTTGATGTTTCTAGGAGATGCATGATGTGGAAAATGTTGCTCTTGCCAAGATGTGTAAGATGGACGCAACGGAAAGCCTAGGGTAAGCAGGAGACTCTTAGAAAAAAAAGTAGGTGGACAGTAATATGACTGTGGGGCTGGGGAGAGGTCGAAAGTTGTGGAAGGGAAGGGGAGAGGAAGGGAGGGAGGGAAGAAACACTGAAAAGATCACTGGCTACCTACTGGATCACTGGCCAGGAAGAAGAAAGAGCCAAAATTTCAGGATTAAAAGTCTTGGTTGTTTGTT